AAGATAGCCACACCCCCAGGAATCCGTCCACGCTTAAACCCGAGCCCAAAGTCGGTAGTAGACTCTCCAGCGCCGAGGCCACATAAGTCCTGCTTGGCAAGAAGAGTCTCTTGTAAGCATAGGATGTCACATTGTTCCAGCAGCTCTTTAACCACAATGCGGCGAACTTTATCCTCCACATTATGACCACGGCAGTTATATGAGATTACTTTAAGATCCATAAAAATGAGTTAGAGCTAGCATCTGCTTCCAGGAGAGGGCCTTGCTCGGGTAGAGTGAGCAGCATGAGCACCACCAACAAATTTACGTGGTTCAAAATATCGCCTCACAAATTTTATGACACATGACGTCATGCCCAAGTTTTTCTTTCAAATAAGTACGTAAAATTTCGGCTTCCAAGTCTGGTGAGAATTTTGTAGCAAAGACACTGACCATCTTGGTCTTAATCGTTTTGATGGTTCCAGCTGCTCCGGTACCCACAACAGATTTGCCAGCTTTCCTCTGACCTGCTAGGGTAATGCCTACACGAGGAGCAGGCCTAACACCAGCCGAGTTCTTTAGTTGACGTTGCCCCCTTTTAGCCACCAAGCTCCACGTAGGGGAACCGGGCGGCAACGCTTCTCCACAGTGTTCCAATAGAGTAGCCCTATCCCCCGCAGGCGGCACCAGACCCTCGGACCCTTTGGGGCCACCCACCACCTTCGACTGCTCACCTGCCAAAGAGATACTGTGGTCGGCCTCCGTTGCATCCGACAATACAGCGCGCGTTTCCAATGCACTGACACGCTTGATCGTGTCTGCTGCAACAGCCCGCAGACTGTCGCTTGCTTCATCGCAGTAATTTCGGCCTGAAGATGCTCCATTTTACGAAACAAGCCACACACATCCATACTCGTAAACGTCACAGATGGCAGTTCATCTAAGACACAAATCTGGGGGTGTCCTCCCCACACTCGTTCAAAACTTTAAGGCAAGCCTTAACATTATTAACGTCTTTATGCACTCCCTTATGCAAGATGTTACGCTGGGTAGTGACGCAGACTTCATAGAGCTTTTTCTTCGAAGCCTCAATCCACTCGGTGTCAAAGGTGTTGACTGCCAACAGGACAATCTCATCCTGACTTAAGGTCCTTAGTTTAACATAGAGGAAATGCAAAAAAATTAATCCTCTACTATAACTTTACCGTCAGTTGTTTTATACACTTCAGGTTTTAATCGAGCCTTGGCAAACACAGGAGCACCAGGTGCGCGTGCGACCGTGACGTCCGCCATCTTCCATGGGACAACATCCATGTTGTCATATTGTGATTTAATCAAATTGTATCAAGAAAAAGCCACATTTACTACAGTTTTCTTCTTCCAGCAAAAATAAACAAAATGTATGTGGTGCAGCATCCAAATCAACTTTGAATAGTTTTTTCAATTTTTCCTCTGGAGCTGTTTGAATGTTTGCAGGTGGTTTTTGTTTAGATAGTATAGTTGTTTTCTAGCACTCTGGCCTTTGTTTCACGTGAAATATGAAATGTGTGTTTATGATTCTCCCTCAGTACTCCCTGGTAAATGAGCCTTTGATTGAGCTGACCAACCCAGGGGCCAGCGGCTCTCTCTTCTACCTGACCAGCGATGATGAGTTCATCATTAAAACCGTCCAACACAAAGAGGCCAAGTTTCTCCAGCGGTTGCTGCCTGGATACTACATGGTGAGACATTTGATGTGGCAAAATTCCACTTCTCACAGTTGAACGGCTGTCTAGAACAGATCAGTGATCACATTTAAATGGTGTAAATAAGATGCAGTGAACATTCATTAGCTCCAGCTGCAGGGCACCCTCACATTGCCTCAGTAAAGGGGGTGCAGGAAACATGTAAATATCTAAAAACGTACTAGGTTTATCAGGTAATCTACAACAGAATGTAGCCATTCACAAATTTGGAACCAGACTATTTTTTGTATGTCATAGATACTGTTCACTGCATTGTGCTTTCTTCCACAGAACTTGAACCAGAACCCACGCACGCTGCTGCCTAAGTTTTATGGCCTGTATTGTATCCAGTCTGGAGGCATCAACATCCGGCTGGTGGTGATGAACAATGTGCTGCCTCGCTCTGTCAAGATGCACTACAAATATGACCTGAAGGGATCCACCTACAAGAGACGGGCATCCAGGAAAGAGAGAGAGAAGGCCTGTCCTACCTACAAAGACCTGGACTTCCAGGACATGCATGATGAAGGGCTTTACTTTGACGCAGAGACATACAACAACCTAATGAAAACTCTGCAGAGAGATTGTCGGGTAGGTGGTTTTCGAAATGTGTACAGAGGGTGATTTTGTGTGTGTGTGTGTGTGTGTGTGTGTGTGTGTGCTCATCTTTGTCAGAATGATTTCCTTCAAAATTATATTTCTGTTGAATTTATCATGCCTTCATTCCATTGCTAAAACATTTTGACAGTGCAGTGAAGCCTCTCATGGACATTATGTCATGTGCCATATCAGAGCAGACCCCTCATTAATGCAAATGATTATGAAAGCTTACAGTAGATACCATCACAAGCAGCAGGATAGCGTGTGCATTTTAGATGGGATGTTGTTTTGAAAGCAGAAGTTTCCATGTGTTTGCCACTGGGACCACAATGTGTTTCTACTGTGTGTTCAGTCTAGGCTCCTTGTTTGCCCTGGGCTCCCTTCTCCTTTCTGTGACAGCTCTCTAAACATTGAATGTGATTAAGACCTGATCCTGGTTCCGTGAGAGACTCAGAGCTTGATCCCAAGACAGGCTTGCAGTCTTTGCTGTTTTAACGGGCGGAGAGACTGTCTAGTAGAAGATAGTTGGCGTTTAATAGGAGACATGATCTAGTGATCCACTGGACTTCCCTGATTTTAGAAACACGAGAAACAGACAATGGGACTTGATGACTCAGAAACTCAGCTCAAGTTTATTTAATTTACGTTAACATTAGGAAACTTATCAGTTAACACTAGTTGGAATGTTTACTAATTAACTAGCTACCAGTTATGCAACTGACATTCAAGTGACAGTAGAATTAGATATATGCATGTTGCAGCAGGCTGCCACAGATACAGTAATGTTTGCTCTCTTCTGCAGTAGCTGAGGAGTCAAAGTTGATTAAACCTATTTGTACCTATCTGGGGGATCTCCTGGGTTCCTTATTGAACCCAAGAGAAGTTTTAATAGTACAGACAGTTATCTTGCAGAAATCTAAACAAAATCATACAAACTGAGTCATTATTAGTAAAACTGTGACATCATTGTGAAACTGTACAATACATCTTTAAGTGTAGGTTATCAGGAAACTAAAATAGCTGGGAAAGTGCAGTATCCTTCCAGCAAAGGTGTGTAAACAGGTGTGTTCAGCTGTTGTGTTCTCACATTTCAAGCCAAACAGTATCTCGATCACAATCTTAGGGACAAACGCGGGTCATGTGATGTTAGGTTAGAGTGAGATTGCCACAGTTTCAGATGAACTTCTCAGGTTGCGGCCCTTCTCATCATCATTAACCAATATGCTGACTTTCTTGGTACTCTCTGTTTCCTTTGTAGTGTTTTTTTTAAGCAGACTGAAGGACACCCCTCCTCTCTGGCTAAGTCGGTGCTTCCTCAATGTTTAACCTGGCAGCTCACTCACACTTATGACCTTGCCCGGTCAGGCTCTCTCAGTCTACTACTGTATGTGTGCATGTACAGGGCTCTGTGTTTCATATCTTTTATATCTAAAAGTATGTAGTGTGGAATGTGACACTGTTGAGGACCAGCTGTTAGAGACTCTGTGCTGTATATTTTGTTTTTGTCATGGCTTCCTGTGCTTACCTCCTGAGCGGGAAGCAAAGTGCCTATAAAGCAGAATCAATTTCCATGAGTAAGCAGCTAAGTCTCACCCCAGGAGAGGCTTTAGACCAAAACACAGAGGAGGGGTCGGCAGAAGGCGAGCAACAGGGGGGTGAGGGGTGTGGAGGGAATGAGGAAATGGAAGGGGATTGTTGTCCTGTGAAAGTACATGTTGTGAGGCCTCTGAAACGTTAAATTGTAGGTGTTTTTCCAAAGCTTGGAGTGCTATGCTTTTTATTTAATTGGAATGTAGGAGGTTAGAGTTGAGGTGAAGCTGGAAGCCGTGTTGAGAGGAAGAGAAGTATGAGGAATGCATTTGAGAGAATCAGATATTTCTGCTATGTGGGACATTTCTAGGGAAATGCAGGGTCCTCTCTCCATTGCCCTGCAGCTCCCCTGATACTCACGAAAAACCAAAACAACACAGGGTATTAATAATTCATACTGTGCAGAGACAGTGAGATAGGGTGGGTCTGAGTGTGTGATTTGTAACAAGGAGCATCACATCCATGTTGCATTACAGTGACCAAATGTGAAACAGCCATTACGGTGATAGTGATGCTGCTGCGGATGTCAAGCAGATTTGTTGGCAGCACGTTTTTGACGGCGGCCATCAAGATAACTTTCAAAGTTCAGCTAAAGCTTCACCAAAACCCTTTTAATCAGTGATAAATGTTGGTAAGTTCCGAGAGCCCATGTGTTCAGATGTATGGTTCATCACTAGTTAAAATCCAAAGATTTTCACTTTACTATAGGAGAGTAAGAAAACCAGGACATATTTACATTGGAGAAGCTTTTTTTAAAATTGTTGCCGATTAATTTTCTGTCGGTGGACTGATCAGTTATTTTAGTAGTCACTGCAGCCCTACACAGGCCTCCCTAAAAGTTGTAAAGAGACATTAGTAAGTTATTCAGTGTGAAACAGTGCATAGTTGGCTCAAATCACAGGATATATATGAGAGTTGTTACCTCTGGGGTGTGCACTCTAATGTAATCTAATACAGTCTTCATGCAATAAACTCCACATTTGTGAAACTTCAGTTTATATTCACAGTGTTGGAGGAAATAAACTGAGAAAGAGTGAATTTTAAAATAACATTATTACAGCTGCTGCAATGCGGAAGGTTTTATTTTTGAAACATGCTTTATGAGAAATGGAAGACGATGCCCAAATCTAGAAATCAGACATGGGCAGGGGTACTCATGCCAATTTTGCAAAAAACATACCTGTGATCGTAACTGGGCTTAAAAATCCAGCACCATTGACGCAGCTGGTCCAGAAACAAGTGTAAAAGAATCTCTCCTCTGTGTGTCCAGCAGACAGGCTCAGGCATAAGAAAGCTTGCAGTGTGTTGGTGTCACTGCTAAAGAGGGGCACACCAGCCAGCACTGTGGGGAGCTCTACAGCCGTACTGGCACGGAGACAGATGGGTGGAATATGCTGAGAAACATCATAGATTTGCTGAAGATCAGAGGCTGCTGTTAGGACTTTCTCATTCACTGTGAATATTCTTGTAATGAGAGCATAAGGCAGGCTGCCCGGGGGGGGAGAGACAAACACTTGATCATTATGCCACTAATTATCAGTAATATTCCACTCTATGCTGATATTTTTTTGTAGCTTTACATATAAACAGTATTTTCCAGAATCCAAAGAAAATCCTTTTGCACAAACAAGCACAGAAATGCAGCTGTTTTCTTTCTGGTTTGATTGTTTGCCTGGGAAAGCCAGCACTCACAGTGATGGCCTTCTGTAGGCAGCCTGTGGTGCGTGGCTCTATTCAACAGCCTATGCTATTTGAATAGGCTGGGGGAGTTAGAGTGAAGGGATGCAAATTGTTGATATGGAGCAGGCAGCGCTTAGACAAAAGCTCCAGTGTTTGAGTCAGTCAGTAAGTCTATTTTCTGTGTGTGTATGTATACATGCTCATGTGTGGCACTGTGACCTTATACATCTGTTGCAGATGCCAGCTGGTTTTAGAGCTAACACTGATAATGTCTTGTTTGACCATTCATTAAAATGGGTTATCTAGAGAATAATAATAGGAACTTATAGGTAGGTCAACTTCCAGACACTACTGGTCTCACATCCTTTGCAAAAACAGGCCAGTTTTCTTTGGATTCTGGGTCATAACTTATATCAGAAATCTGTTTATGGCTCACAGTTCAATGATGATGAACTTTATATCAGTCTTAATTTGATGCCAGAGGATTGGATACATTAATTTTTTAGTTTTGTTTTATGATTGAAGGGATTGAATGGAGAGAATGTGTAGAAGTAAATAGCCCAAGAATTCAGCACAATAATTTGTCCCAGTCTTGGTCATAAGATGAGCCTAGCTACCTTCCAGTGACCCTAATCCCATTCCCACATTAAGCTCCTGCCTCTCTCTCTCTACCCTTGTCTTGCTATGAGGCTGCTTTACTTGAGCACTAGGAGACGTAAAGTCTCAGAGTCTATAGGAAACTGGGTGAAAGACTTGGCTGACTGTGGAGAAAAAGCTTGTTTATTTAGCTCAAGCCAAGACCTCCTTTTGCTTACTTTCTGGTCTGCGAGGCATTCAAGCATGCTGGATGGTGTTTTTCAAAGCATTTCAGGATGTCACTGTATTTATTTGAAGAGCTGAAGGTGAAGCACACAGGAGAATAGTTGATCAAACAGGTCGTCAAAATGTGAAAGATCCTGTTATTAAATCCCAGCCTGTGGCATTAATCATTAGTGGATTCATTGTGGATGATTATTTTTTTCACTGGTCATAGGTGCTGGAGAGTTTTAAGATCATGGACTACAGTCTGCTGCTGGGTGTGCACGTCCTAGACCAGAGCCAGAGGGAGGGAAGTGAGCCGGGCCAGGCAGGGGGGGACGGGAGGAGACCTGTGTGCCAGAGGGTCCTTTACTCCACCGCCATGGAATCCATCCAGGGAGACGGCAAGGCTGCAGAAGCCCTCACCACAGACGACACGTGAGTCGGCTCAGCCTTGGGAATACATACATTATATACACATATTTGGGCGTACACACATGGCCTCTGTTTCTTAACAGTCACCTTTTCTCTCTCAGACACAGTTATACAACCATGCTCGTACCTCTCACAGGACTCTCAGTGTACACACAGCTTTCACATAACCATAGCTACAGTAACCTACACAAACACAGTCACTGTTATGAACATTTACAGCAATACACATGAATATAAATACTGGGCCTCTTTTACAAACACTTGTAAAAGTGTGGAGGCACATGGCCTTTAATTTTAACAGTGTTTCAAGCATTGATGAACAGCAGTTGTTCTCTGACTGATGGTGTTTTCATTTTGTTTAAGGATGGGTGGCATCCCTGCCAGAACCCACAGGGATGAAAAGCTGCTCATCTTCCTGGGTATTATAGATATTCTACAGTCGTACAGGTACTAATCTATATAGGTTTATATAAACCGGCTGTCATTTTATTTATTATTTAATACAGTAGTTCTCCTGTTATCACTGACTGGAAAATTCATTAATCTGATGACTTTGACTGTGAAAACCATTTAAGTCTGGCTGTATGATCCGCAGGAATGTCTCTATTTCTGAAAAGTAGCTTGTCTCATCAATAGCCAATGCAGATGTGACAATTTATAGAGAATGTGCAGGAAGAGTTGAGGAGTTTGCATTGACAGGATTCTCTCTTGGCCCCGATGTTTGCCTTATGACCACCTAATGTGGAATTCTCACCCTTCACTGATGGAAGGAGCTACATGGCACTTTAACACAGTCCTAAAAGGACTCCAGGCTTTTCTCTACTTATCATGATTTAAATGTAAATGGACACAGCAGTCACTTTTCTTTATTTACACATTGATTTTTTTTGCCCTGAGAGCAAGAGAGTTAGGTAACAGAGGAAACCTTTCTGCTCATCAGCTTTCCACACTTATGGCAATTTAAAAGCATCACATAAAACCTAGTCAGCCTGGATGGAGGAGGCATCAGATGCTCACACACAGTGGGTGAGGTGAGATCAGGTCAGGGAGGAAGGATGAATAGGGCCAGTTGATCCATAACATAATTGATTACATAACATAAAGCTTCTGCTAAAATTCTAGAAGATATCTTTAGTTTTTGCTGTGTCTTGAGTCCAAGGCGCAAGAGGGGAAGCATCTCAGGTTTGACCAAGTATAAAAGGGGGAAAGTTGCTGCAGATACATTTGTGACAAGCTTTCTCCTTGTTTTGTTTCTCCCCAGGCTCATTAAGAAGCTGGAACACTCATGGAAGGCCCTGGTGTATGACGGCGTAAGTTGATAACTTGGTCAAATCAGACACTGCTGCTTTTATGAACAAGCTTTTTATATGGACACATACTCGTCAGTCTGCTGTCTGATAAAAACTCGGCATGTTCTGCCTGTCCCCAGGACTCCGTCTCAGTGCACCGTCCCGGATTTTATGCCAGCCGCTTCCTCAAGTTTATGAGCACTCGGGTCTTCAGGAAGACTCAGCGTAAGTCTGCAGGGTGATCCTGGTGACATGTGGCAGGGAAGGCAGACCAGGACAGCAATAGAAAGTGGAACACAGGAATTCCTGGCCTGATAACGAGAGTGAATTTGTATGGTTTTTATTGTCTATTGCTGGGCATTGGTGTGTCACTGTAATATAATTAGCTCGATGCTGATTCGTTTAAATGAAATGTTACTTTATTTATTTGTTTATTTAAACACCCACCTAATACTGCAGCACTGATCATATGAATGACAGATCGATTGATCTTCTGTCATGTTTATCATGACAAAACCCTTTTCCCCCCACAGTCTATTCCCAGTGTCATGGGTGTGGCTCTAGGTCAAGTCAGGTTGTTTTGGAACTTCACATTTACACCAAATATAGTAACAAATGTTATGTAACCATGCAGGACTCCCCTATGGAAATGAACATGGACATAGCTGTGCTATTCACAGGGAGATGCCAGGAAAGGATTTCATCTCATGCAGGGCTTGGGAGGCAGGATGAGGATGGCTTAGAAGACCCTTGATTGCCATTTATCAGTTTAATAACTTTGCTGCTAATGTTGGAGGCATGGCATCAGACTTTGGTTGTGTCATGAAGTGATTGCTTCAGTCAGGATCATTCTTTTCCCTGGCTCCTCTTGCTCCTTCTGCCTCTGCATTTGTGAATCTTTATCACCCTCATTTCTTTCCTTTCCCTGATTCATATGGTTCTTTTTTGCTGCACAGCTATTCGATTCTCCCCTTCAAAGAGGACTCGCACTTCCATCTCAGCTCTGAAGTCGTCAGCCTCTCAGGAGATCCTTTCATCGCAGGCTGATGAGAAGAACAAAGAGGACAGGAGGGCCAGGCTGGGAGGAGCCCGCAGCTTGGCCAGTCTGGACAGACAAGGTACAGAAACAACAACCTTCTAAGACGGCGTCACTCTACCTGTGATGAACACTGTGAAGCAATTCTCTATGCATGTTGTAAGAGAGTGCATCTTGAATGATTAACAGCACTCATGAGTGTTCATAGAAGTGCCTTATTTAAGAGATTATTTGAAACTTAAAGCAACACCACTTATCAGAGGTGCACTTGTCACTTTACCATTATCCTCAAGGCACCAGCTGCCTTCTAATCTACCCATTTCAGCCTCACTTGTTTTCTCGTTTTTATAGCTTATTAGAGCTTTTTAGAAACCCATAAACAGCCACTTGAATTCAGCCATAAAAATGTTGTCCTCTCAGCACTGCCCCATGGGGAAACTGTCAGTGCTTGATACAGTATTTGGCCTTAATGGAAGAAATCTGAGACTGCCTTGTTATTAGAATCTCTACAGAAAGGTAAGAAGAGAGCTGTGTAGTCTTAGCAGTGTTATCGTAAACCTCCCCTCTCACTCTCTGCTATGATCACAACATGACCCCAGTACAAGAAGGTGTATTTCAGGCACCTTTGTGTTTGATATGGTCGAAGGAGTGTTGGCAACACTGTACTGGAAGATACAAGGGTGTGGGTGTAGAACAGAAAGGGTCACAGGATCATTTGTCTTCACAACCAGAGAGAAGCCCGAGGCTGATACAGTTAAACGTGTTTTGTCAGTTTTATTGGAGTAGTTTAATCAATTAATTTGAATTGAATTCCCATGCCCTGTATTGTCTCAGTCATTAAGCCTGTTTAAACTTTGAAGTTCACACTAGAAAGCACAAGTGAGTTAGAAGAATAAATGGATGATCCAGTGTAGGCTTGACATTTTAATCAGCACAACTAAAGAAATATTGAACATACTGATTGACCAATGAAGCACATTTAGGAGATCATGGCCATGTGTGCCAGTGATTGTCTGTGTATTTTCTCTCAGTTAAAAAGGGACTCAGCCTTGATACACAAAGTTCAGTTAGGAGTTTTCAAAAGTTTGAGAAGTTGCATCTTAGCTTTGGCTTGTAGATTACAAATAGAGTCTGACAGATGTTGGCCTTTACCAGTCAGTAAGGGTCAAACAAAAAGAATAAAAAATGATGTAGTAAAGTGTGCACTTGTTTTTCCGTACTCATCATGTTCATGTAACCGTTTCCTCCTCAGCTGTGTTTGGTTCATACCTGCGTCCTGATCTCGTCCCTGTCAACTTGTCCTTCTATGACGGCTATTCCATGGGAACCATCTCCACCTCCTCCATTTATGTCAACGTGGACAACCAAACAGAAGAGAGGTACAGTGTCTACTTATTTGACTTTTTTGTTTGTACTCTTTCTGGTTGCTTTAGGGGTGGAACGTGTAGTTTTTGACCTTTACATCATGATTAAAGGTACAGAGCCTTGAGGGCTTGAGTAACAGGATAAAAAGGCGTGTTATCACCATATCACCTGTGCTCTTCAATCCAGTGGTTTTATTGGTGACGTGCGTAACAGCACATGTGACTCATCCGGTTTGACAGCATGCATCCAGTAGAAATACACGTACTTCCTACAGAACACATGGACTGTCCATTCTTTGAATGGGCTGTGATGGCGGGTAGTGTTAGTCTCCTCCATTTACTAGACAGCGATTAGGAAATAATCTGCAAGTATGTACTACACAAGTCTTTTGATGCAACGCAATATTTGTTTTGGCTTTGGACACTTTCGTTTTTCACTTCTGTCTTCCATTTTTCACTGCTCCCTTCGTAGTAGTGTTGGTTTCAGCTTGCTTTTTGATGCTCCATTGTGTGACTTGCCCGGTCTTGTCCCCTCATCAGTCACCTGCTGCTGCACTGTCAAGTATTCTCATAAATATTTAAAGAGTGGCTTTGACATGGTCTTGCCTAGTGCCATTATGCTGCAGACATACTGTGACAACAGAGGCCAAACGGTGCATTGGAGACTATATAATCCCTGTCTGACAGCTGGTTTGTTGGTTACAATAGGAACACCTTGTCTTGTGATGTTCAGGGTAGGATTGTTTTAAAACAAAGCCGTTACTAATCTATACCTCTCCCCCTATCCGTCTATCTCCACAAATGCACTTATCTGCTTCACTCTCTACCTGGCTTTCAGTTTGACTTTGTACACAAAAAGCAGTCAGTCTCATGTCATAAAAGAGTGTAAACACATTCTTGAATTTATCAGGAACTTACCTGATGCACATACAGTACAAGGAAAAGAGCTGTAAATGTTGCCCTCTGGTGTTTGCACCAGAGGGCAACTCCCAGGTATTTCTGAGAGAGATGTATATTTGTATTGGCTCCGTGAGGATAAAAGCTTCATTCGTGGCAGCAGGGGATGGTTCTGTAGGCTTCAGCAAGACATCACTCTCATATATACGAGAAACCTCTCAATACATATATGACACTCCCTGCTCATCTTTTGGAGGAGATTTTCCATATTACAGTTTTTTAAATATATTAGTTAAGCACTTGATACCAAAATGTTGTCATTTCTTCTGTTCTCCCCAAAACCAGACTAATGTTGTAATGCATTTATTCCCTCAGTCTGAAACCACAGTTGTTGAAATTTAAGGTGCATTTTCCTAGAATAAGTCAGTTTAGTTCATTCTTATCCCTCATGCTATACTGTATGTGCATATTTTCCCAGCAAGGGTCTCCTTCTAGGGCAGCATAGTGGTGCAGTGGTTAGTGCTGTCGCTTCACAGCAAGAATATTCTAGGTTCGAGCCCGGGCCGACCTGGGGCCTTTTTGTGCAGAGTCTGCATGTTCTCCCTGTGCGGGTTCTTTCCATGTACTCCAGCTTCCTCCCACAGTCCAAAGACATGCAGCTTAGGTTGACTAGTGACTCTAAATTGCCCGTGGGAGTGAGTGTGGTTGTCTGTCTCTGAGTGTCAGCCCTGTGATAGACTGGCGACCTGCCCGGGGTGTACCTCTTGCTCAGTGTCATCTGGGACTGGCACCAGCTCCCTTGCAACCATCTTCAAAAGAAGTGGTGGTCAAATCAGGCTAATCTTAGAGTTTTTGTTCATTGCCTGTCTAGCCTCTCAGCTGAGTTCTTTGCTGGCCTGACATCAGACAGGTTTTCCATCCTGCTCGCAGTCAGTTCATCTCTTTGCCTCCTTGATGTCAGAATGTTTGCAATAGTGTGTGATTTGTTTCTGAAGAGCATGTTTTTCATCAAGTTTCCAAGCACTGTTTATACAGCTGCTTTACTTTAACTGCCTTCGAGCCACACAATAAATTCTCAGGGCTGTCTGCTACATAAGTTAATACAAAAATATTTTTTCCTATTTCAGAGACAACATTGCCTCCAGCTCCACATTTACCCTGGAGGATAGTGCCATCTGCCTCACCTCAGAGCAGAGCACCGTGGATGTGGACATAAACCGCGATGACTGCTCTGTTCTCGATGCCTACTTCGTAAGTTATTTCTCCATTTGTTATTTCAGGTCACCCTTCACAAGTTTTATGGTGTTCAAATTTTAGATACCAATGCTGATGTGTGATTAGTTCACATTTAGAACTCAGACCTAAACCATGTCAATAATCATCCTTTTTCTCTGCCCTGTTTTCCCCTGCAGTGAAAAAAACAGCTTTACAGCCGTCATTTCCTCCTGACAATCACAAAACAAACTGCTGCGCTCCATTGGACAGGCCAGGTTGACCTTTGACTCCACTTCAGTGCTAACTCCACGTTGCCACTTGTATTGCCAATACATTAAACGACTGAGATTCTCCATTGGCGGATGGACTAAAAGAAGACAGCAACAAAGTCACAATGATGCACCTCTGCACAAACCATGTGACATGAACATCAGACGGAGTATTGTTTTAGAGCATGCGTTAATACAGTGCCATCAAGTTTTATGTATGTATCCTGTTCAATGACCTACACAAGATATGATCATTTACTGTATATACATAGGAGGAGAGGGTAGATATACATTTCATTATTTAATTTTTCTGCTGCAAGGACAATTTCAAAGCTTGCAACTGCATTAGTTGCTGATGAGATGAGAAAACATTTACAGAGAATTTATGATGGCATCTTTGTTCCCACTGACGAGGGACGTGAGTGTCGCACAAAGGACACATGCCAGCTTGTAGCCACAGCCAACATGGATGAGGAAATACTCAAACAAACAGACTTTATTCTGAAGCTACCAAGGCCAAACTGTGACACAGTGAGAGTGTCTGCCTTTTCCTAACTGGGCTGGTATTTGTGCTGGCCTGACACAAACCTGAAGCCCTGGCGAAGGGCTGCTGTAAAGTGACGTGAGAAAAGACAGTTACTGGATATTGAATGAAACACAGAGCTGAAGGACTTGCTCTTGATAAAAAGGCACTTTTGACACTGGTTATTATTACTGTAAGAAATATTCTCCTCAGAGGCCCTTACTTGGGTGGGCTAACTGAGAAGGATTCAGATTTGGATGTATTAATATGCACTTTTCCCCCTCTTTTTACTCTACAAATGCACACATCTGCAGATCACCGATATGTGTACAGAGAGTGAAGGAACACTGTAGGTCATTTTTGATGTGGCGGTACTAGTTTTGTGGTTTGCGTCACGACTGAAGATGCTTTTACTCAGGATGTCCTTTGATACTGAATAAGTGTCTTCTTCAAGAAGTTGTGAGACATTCATCCTACACGTAGCTGTTTGATACCTCTTCACCAACATCAGATCCAATAAGTGTTGAATTCTACAATAACGGTAGAGTTGATTATAATTTATGATGTAAACCTCAATATTTTACCAGTTGCTGAAAAAAAAACCTTAATCGCTGAATGTAAAAACATTGCATATTTATATATAGAAGAGAAACTGCTTTAAATAAACTGCTAGAATTCAGTGTCTACCTTTGATTAACACCTTTAAGCTTTAGCTTCTGAAGCAGTACTTTATATGTTTGCATCATTCACTTAACAAAAACTATCCTCATTTCCACAGGAGTGCAGAACACCTTCTCAGTTCCATTGTGTAACAATTTTAATTTACAGAACATTGTCAAATTGCATTACATTTAGTGCAAACAATAATACTTCTGATGTACAACTTAGAAATTAAAAAAAGGTGTAGATTACTGCCGAAATATCAAAATTAAAAACACTAAATGCACTCTTCAGCTGACACTGCTCGTAAATCTACCACTTGTAATGATCAGCGAAAACAATGATCCAGATCCTTCCTGATCTCCAAGACTGAAAACATGTTTACGTTTTTCACCAAGCAGATCTACTGATTGCAAAACTCCCAACTTTCAATGGCATTAAACACAAAGTAGAGCAAACTGAAATCTTGAGGTAAGATGTGAAATTCGGACCCCTTTCCTCCCCACTTCATTTCGTTGTTGATAAATGTACATGTGGTGGCTGTAGAGTAGAGAAAGCCAGGACTTTCAGGGTTCATCCTGGTGTCTAAGGCAATATGGGGCTAGGTTTATCAGGAGCCCGCTACACTACGGTGTGGCAGGTGAAGTGCAGCTGGGAGTGGAGGTGTAGATGATGTTTTGCTCAACATTTTACAGCTTTCTTACTCTTCACAATAGCAGCAGGACTAATGTTCAAACCTGACCGGTTTCCTTTCTGCCTCATGGGATGGGGAAGGTGAAAAACAACCCAGAGTATATGAAATGTATCCACTCGTCTCTCAATGAAAGAGAGGAATCTTTACATCATGCACTGTGGCTGGTCATTTGCACGTACCTGTCAGAAACCATGTGTGACATGAAGGTTGAAGACAGAGACATGCTGACAACTGATCACAGTGTAGCATCCATCAGTCAACTACATCCAAGACATCCAAATATTGATTACCAGTATCAAAAATAATACCCAGCATAAGTTAACTAGACTTAACAAATGTTCCTCACTTCCCACTTTGGGTTTCCTCAGCCCATTAGAGTCACCAAATTCAAGCATTTAACAGTAAATTCACATTTCTCACATTGGTAAACTAATTGAAACCTTAAGTCTGTTCTCTCTGTACAATACATTGTGTTCACGATGGTGTCTGACAGCTACTTTATAACAATCAAGAAATATAAAGATCTCAAAGCTTTAGATTCAGACCCTCTATCAAACTGCAGAGTCATCACCGGAGGGACAGGAAAAGGCAAGAAAGAGGAGATATGATCACACCTCATCAATGCTTTCCCCAAACAACATCTACATTCCTCTCTAATGGTAGTAACTTTAGCAGCAGCAGAACAAGTAGCTGTAATACTAGTAATTAAAGCAAATGTAATAAGTCAAGAAGTATGTGATCATAAGAAATGTACAAACAATTTACAAAAAATGCAAATACTCAGTAACAACAATTCAAAAATCACTTAGGAAACTCTGGAAACTTGCTCTTGAATTGACATAGAAATGTACTCCTGACCAACAAAAGGTATTAAGCCAATATAATGTGGCAGAGTTGACAACTACTGATGGTTTAAAGCAGTAAAACCAATCTCCTTTAAAGCAGGCATCCTGTGGGACGTCCTGGATGATGTGGTGGTCTACATGTCTGAAAGCTAAAAGCAGCTGAATGGGTCATGTAGTTGAGAGTCTGTTTGATGCTGAACAACGCAGTCCCTCCTGTGGGCTAACTTGCTCCTCTACAGGCCTGGAAGTCAACAAGAAGAAAGCCAGTATTGCAGAAATGAACAAACATGAAATATTCTCTTTAACTGTTGGCTTCGTTATGGTTCAGAATTACATGTAAAGCAGCAGCCAGTAGATCTCGCATCCAGACAGCATAAGCCATGTTCTATGACTTTCAGTTTTAGAGCAAGACGTGTTTTGGTTTCTGGTTACCTGTTTGTGCTCAGAAGAGGATGGGCTTCCCAGCAGTTTTCTCTTGGACATAGGAGGTGAAGCGTTTGAGGAACTTGGGATACTCTCTCTTGGCTACGGCTCTGAGGACTGAGGCTGGTGCCCAGCCTCCTGGGTTTACTGCAGCCACACAGAGGAACATTATCAGGAAACTGTGTTTACATGTTAACTTGGGATAAAACTATTAACCATAAACCAGCGTACAGGTTCAATACACAGAGGTCTAGGGTACCCTCTAATGAGAGGCAAGTATGTAATGCTCCCCCCCCCAATAAACTCCCCTGACCTGCCTGGCTGCTCTAACAATAAACTGATCCAGTGTTCCTTTTGCAGCACTGCTTTATGTCACAGTGTACTCATCCCCAGGACATCAGGGAAAAGCTGTGCAAGTCCAGACTGACATTTCAAAAACACATACACACAGACTGTCTCTCTCTTATGTCAGCTACAGCAAAGACCAATCAGCAGAATTATTAGCTGACACAAAACTGTTCTGAATTATCTGAGAAATGGTGTAAGACATAAAATAGCAGTAGGCAGGGCAATGAGAATAATACAAAAAAGACAAAACCATAAGAGGCCTTTTTGTGACCTGAAGCTGTTTTTCACAGCAACATAAACATCCACTCAGGCCACTTCACAAATGCCAACAAGTGGGTTGTTTAGGTTGTAGTTATTCAGGCTGCTGTGACAGCTCTTCTCTTTGCTTTTGGCCATTACTCACAAACACGACATTTCTACCAATTTGCCACTGTATTAGCTCTGATGTGAGACAATGTAGTCTTGAAGAAAATCCAGTAGGGTCTAATATATTAATATTGAGGAGCCTGTATACAGATTAAAGTTAGACTGATGGTGATGGAGAGGCTTTGGTCAGCAGCACGATCTTGCCCCAGGCATATACACTGCGGCTGGATAGGCACCTACCATTAGCAACATAGGTGATCTTACAAAGGATGTTTTCTCTGCTGATCTCTTTATCACCCTCTGGTGGGCTGACCAGCGTTTGGCAGATCATGGCAACATTGATTTTGGCACGAACACAGCGGTTTGTGGGCTGTAAATACAACAAAAATGTAAATGCAAACAATTCCCAAGCTGAAACAAGTCTCGCTGTAGCACAACTGACAGAGTGACTGAGGGTAAGTGGTCTAAAAATAGGCATTCTTCCATTTACCCTTAAAATGGGCCTGAAAACAAAACCTTGTTTGACTAAGGGATACTTGTCATCATATGCTGTGTTGAATCAAAGGCATTTTGAATTATTTAATCACAGTACAAGGATGTCTGATGAACTGGTAAAATGTCACTATAATCAACAAATATATCTCAATCAATAGATTAATCAGCAGATGGATAGATAGGCCAAGCAATATGTTCACTGAATAGCTTTTTGGCTCACTACTACACGCTCACATGCAATACTGCACCATACAAATGGCTATAATGCAAAAATCTTACAGGTGCCTTGTCGTGGTCCACAGAGAAGTTGCAGACCAGCCATGTGTCAGGATCGTTTTCGTTTGTTGCCAAGATCTTCCTTATGGCTGACAGATAGAGCACGTCTCTCTGAGAGGCAGGCCACACTCTCTGAAACACAACCAGATGCATTCAAATATACTGATCAAACGTGCACCATTTTTCAGCAATGTCTAAAACATCATGAGGAATTTTTACCTTGTGCGTCTGGTAAACAATGGTGGCATTGTCGGAAAGTGTTTCCACAACGTTGAAATTTTCAATGGTGGCTGAGGGAGGATGAGTTCATTCAGGTTATGACATTAAAACAGAGAAGGACAAACAGCGTTGATGTGGTGCCGACTTCCGACAGGGTGAACTTACTCTCCCAGTCCATTCTGACAGCTGTGTCCCAGAAGTAGTGGCAGACCTCATGACCTGTCACCCCCTTCACAACATGTGTAGCTTTGAGAGGATCCAGCACAATGCCGTTCTCCTCCACTTCCCTTCTGTACACCTGTTATACAACATGCAGAGTGTGACACAGAACAAACAGGTTAACTACCCAAAAAAAATCACCAAGGTCTAGCAAAAGAGCTTGGTTATGAAAGTGGCAAATATTAATCAGAATCATTACATCAGCCAGAGTACTTGCAGCCAGAGTACTGACAGGAACTAGCAAGAGAGATCATATCTCTCCCATATTAGCTTCTCTCCACTGGCTCCCTGTAAAATTCAGAATAGAATTTAAAATCCTTCTCCTAACATACAAAGCCCTTAATGACAAGGCTCCATCATATCATAAAGACCTTGTAGAGCCTTATCATCCTAACAGAGCACTTCACTCTCAGAGTGCAGGTTTACTTGTGGTTCCTAGAATCCACAGAAGTAGAATGGGAGGCAGAGCCTTTAGCTATCAAGCTCCTCTCCTATGGAACCAACTCCCAGTCTCAGTTC